CACCCCCACCCCCTCCTCCACACCCCATCCCCATCCCCTCCCAGGTGTGCACTTGGGCGCACTAGCTCCGGCCCACACGCAACGGGCGGGCGCGTGGGAAGGCGCCGCTCAGCCAAGGCGGAGGGTCAGGGAGCCGCGGGGCTTGCGTTTCCAGGGACGCGGGCGGCACAGCAGCGCCCCCTGCCTGGCCCGGCCGTCGGGATCGCCCCTTCCGCGAAGGGCGGAGAAGCGAAAGCAGAAATCCCGAGGCTGGGCGAGTGCGGAAGCGACCACAGCGCAGCACGAGCCCGGACAGACAGCAGGCAGAGGCGGAGGAGCGGAGCAGGAGCCGAGCAGGGGGCCGCGATGCGCGCGCCGCGCTGGCTCTGCGTCTTGTGCTGCTGCTGCTGCGTCCTCCTCGGCGACGTCGGCGACGCCAACCCGTCCACACGGAGCGCCAAGCGCAGGACGGCCGCCTTCCGGGTAGGGGCGGCCGGCAGGCCATCCCTCTGGCCCCTCCCTCCTTCCTGCCGGTCCTGCCTCTTCTGGCCTCTCCTGCCCCTCCCCCGCCCCTGTCCGGGTCCTTGTCCCCTCCTGCTTCTCGGCTCCCATGCTCCCCAGCTCCCACGCTCCCCTCCCTCTACCCTCATCCGCCCCAGTTCTCCAGCGGCCGTGTCCCCAGCTGATCTCCAGAGAGCAGTGCTCTTCCTAAAAGCCCTTTAGAGGCCTGGGGGTGCAGGGGGCGGGTGCATCCGTTTTGAGGCCTGGGGGTGCGGGGGGGGGGTGCATCCGTTTCAGTACAGTTTCTGTGTGCAAATGACATGGACGATAAAGCATCAATCTATGCTCTACAGTTCAGTGTATGAAATAGCAAGTGCTCAATTACTCACGTTGACCCTCCAGAGTGTCCCCGCAGGCAGGACAACGTCTGAGGAGTTACTCTCTTCTCTTCAGACACCCAATTGAGGACTGGACTGTGTAAGTAGAGGAGAACATTTGAAAATCTTGGTAAAACCTGGGTTGGGGAAGACTGAGAAAATTGTGTAAGCGCTTCCTGCCCCCGGGAGTTAGCTTGGTGGGGCAAAGCCCAGAAGGAGGAGCTCTCTGGCTTCGAAGCCCTGGGTGCCCTAGGAAGGAGCTGTGTCCGGTGAGCGGACAGGGACAAGGTGGACCCAGAGAGACGGAAAGGAGCCAGGCCCCCAGTGTCCGGTGAGCACTCGGAAGGCATCTGCTAGCCTCAGAGGAACGATTACACTTTGCAATCATTAAAAGCCAAGTGTAACTACAGATTTTCCTTTGACAAAAATACAGTAACTGATGGGTTGGTTGGTCTGTGATTGCTGTTTACCACCCAGCTAAATCACGTATACAGGATAGAAAGTCTTCGGGCTGTGTAAGTACATTTTTTAAAAAAAATTTAAAGACAGAGAAGCAACACATTCCGTGTTGTCCAGGAGACCCTATAAATTACGATCTGGGAAAGCAGGCAGATCCTGAGGGCCACGCACTGCTGTGTCTTCTTTAAGGGATAAAAAGTGGGTCTTCCGCTTGCAAGCCGGTCCACCCTCAGCATCTGCCTGGCCCTCCGTGCCGACCACATTCGTGGGACTGTGCTGGAGGCTGAGGTGTAGAAAGTGCCACTGAGTAACAGTGATTTGTGGCCATGGGTTTTAGAGAACCGTGAAGGTGTCGTTGCCAGCTTATGGTGGCATCTGGGGTGTCGCCAACCCACATGCTGTGGGGATGAGTAGGGCCTGGGGTTAGTGAAAGGAAGGTTGTCGCCGGTGCCCGTGAAGGGGCATCTCGACTCAGCGGTTCTTCCCCGTGTCATGTGCACTTGTGCGACACCTGTGGTGCAAGGCCAGGAGCCTTAGGGCCAGCCTGCCGGCAACTGTGAGCCAAAGGCAGCCCTTCCCCACAAGCCGGGTTCATCTCCAGCATTTCATCACAGGGCGGGCATCTAACTGATGCTAGCAAACGGAGTGCCTCCCAACACTCTGTAAACGGAGGCGCGGTGAAAACCAGACAGCACCGTGACATTTTCTGGTGAACACTAGGATCATGAAGGCACGGACTGCCATGGCCGCCTCTCTCGCAGACGCAGAATGGGAGTAGAACTTCCCGTGGGATGGGTGCTCGGGAGCCCACCCTGCTGGGTCGGGCCTCGTCTTGGTTTCAAAGCCTAGGAGGGATCAAGTGTTTGCCATAATCGTTACCTTCCCATGGGGCAGCTGGCGTTTCCTCTGACCCTGCTCTAGTGAAGGCTGAGGCGTTCCCTGCAGAATAATGTTGACACCCTTACAAGTCACAGGTTCTAGAATTTCAGGAGCTTTACCTCAGGAAGGCTCACCAGAATTACTGGAGCAACATCTTTACTGGATTACTGATAACGTAGACGTAGGCTTTGGGTGTGCAGGAGAGATCATAGCATTCTCGTGATGAGGGCTCCTGCATTCCCCCATTTTCGTAGCAGTGAGACCCTGCTAGGCTTCAGAGGTCCAGCAAGGGTGAGGCCACAGGGACACAGCTGGGAGGGGACAGCGGTGGCCCTGCCTGAGGAGCCAGCCCCTTGCCATCAGGTCAGCTGCTCCAAATAAGCTGCACCCAAGAATGCTTACGGCAGACTTTCTACCCAACACCCAGAGACAGAGGTGAGTCTGACATTAGACATGAGGGTCAGCACACCTTTTCTGTTGGTCTAAGTTGCAGGCTACATCCCCTGAAAGGAAATATACATTTAAAATCTTGCATTAGACCTATTCACTCATTTGTCTGTCTGGTGACTTATGTAATATTTTAATGTTTACTATGTATGACAGCTGGTCTGACTTTTCTCTCTTTTTGTCCTTCTGGGAATCGAACTCAGAACCTTGTGCTTGCCAGTCAGGTGCTGTACAGCTGTGCTGTGTCCCCAATCCCTAGCCCGGGGTTTTCTAGTGATATAGTAGTGAATAATAAACATTTGCTGACCTGCAAGAAATTACAGTCTAATAAATAAATAAGATTTAAATATGGTACTTGTTAGGGTTTGTGTCTAGGTGTCCCCCCAAAGCCTCCTGCAGTCTTGGGGCAGCCTCTGGAGTTTGTGATTGATTGTTGTGGGTGTGGATGCTGCACCTGCCCTGGGGCAGGTAATCTGCGTTACAATGTAAGGAGGAAAGAGAAGCCAGCTGCTGGAGCTGCTGCTACTCTCTCTGCGCTCTTGCTCTTTGCCGCTGCCATGAAAGGCTGCCCTCTGCCATGTGCCGCTCTGCCTTGGAGCCAGCTGAGTATGGACTGAAATCTCCAGCAACTGTGAGCTAAATAAACCTTTTCTTCCTTCATTTTGGGTGTCGGGTATTTGTCCCAGCACCGAGAGAAGAGTAACTAAGACAGTACTATAAACTGTTTCCTGGTAAGTAGAGAAGTTTATAGATGCTCCACTAAGAAATTAGTTTCCTGCAAACAATTTAGAAAGGTTATACACAGATACTGACTGCACATTTCTTACCATTTTCATTTTTCATGGGGAGTCATGTCTATTGTTTCTGTACTGTCTTTAGCACACTAGATGCAGACTGCTGTGTCTAAGAAACTCTGCTAAAGCAGTCATTACAAAGGTAAACCTATGGTCGCTTTCTGTTACCCTACCACAGAGCTTTTCCAGGGTGGCAGGATGAGGTGCAGAGCAGATGATGTTTGGGGGCAGTGGCACCAATGTGCAGGCTGCAGTCCACTGTGTGACCACTTAAAGACAATGTCACCGTCTGGAGGGAGCCCCTGGTCTGAGGCTCAGGACTCCCCAGTCTGGAGCCGAACTCCCAACAATATGCTTATTGTGTAGAAATGATTTTTCCTCTTTGTTCATTCTTGGACTTACTGGAACATCCAAAAATTAAAGCAGTCCAGCCACAGGTGCTGGTGCACACCTGTAATCCCGGCACCAGGAAGGCTGAGGCAGGGGGAGCTCCTTGAGTTCAAAGCTGGCTTGGGCTACATAAGCAAGTCCAAGACCAACCTGAATTACATGTTGGTATCTTGACACCCTCTTCCTCCCAAAATAGCAAAAACCGATCAAGGCAGTCCCAAAGAGAATTTTTTATATTCATAAGTAAAGCTTATGACTTATCCCATTCCTGACTTTAAAATCTGTAAAGGACAATGTTAAAAGTCAAACAGAACTGGAAGGCAGGTGAACAAGTGATCTGACTATCCAACTTGGTGAAGTCTCAAGGAGTCAGGAGGCTGAGACAGGAGGATTGCTTAGACCCAGGATTTCAGTGCCTGCCTGGTGACCTGCCTCTTAATAAAAAATTAAAAGAGATTGTACAAACTACTTTATGTAGTTTTAGTAACTTCAGCATGAAACTTAACCCTAATATTAGTAATTTAAGTATAACACTTAACCCTTATACTGCATGCAGTTCTCATAAAGGATTAATATAAACCATTGTAGAGTTCATAGTGCAAAATAATCATCATTAATAAGAGAAAACCTAGTACCAGCAGAAAAATATATTAAATGATCATTGCTTTCTTGGTTAATGAAATAGACACCAGTTCCTTGCAAGTGTATAGCCCTTCTGTGGACTCTTGTGGGCTGAGTGTCCACACTCTGCACCAAAACCCACTGCAGAGACTTTAGGCAAAGCCCTTGTCTGGGCCTCGTCATCCATTGTGCAGGGATGGGGCTGACAGAAGCTTCCTCCAGAGGTAAGCTGAGGTACACAAAGCCCTTAGAAGAAATACGTGCCTTTCACTAACCAATCTCTGCACACTGTTCAACTGTGTGTTCTGTGTATTCAGCAGATAAGGACTGTTTTGAGAGGACGGAAGGCTCAGTAGTTTGGGCCAGAGTCAGTGGAACAAACATGATTCATTCTTATTTGCTGGCAGTCTGAGAGAAAGCTTTCCCTGGCACTCCTTTCCAGGGCAGCCACAAGCCCCATGCCGCCAGCCGCCTCTTTCATCTTTTCCAAGTGACATTTCCCATTTTCCTCTTAGCAGATCCTGATCACCACTTCTCAGACTCTTGCTGCCCTTGAAGTATTCATAAAAATGTGGAAATGTGTTAATCTGCCTGAGAAGGGATGGGAAGCTTTCTGATCCTGGGAGAAAAATGTTGATTTCTGAAGACCTTTCAGGCTTCAGCCTGATCTCCCAGCAGGCTGCTCCAGGCTCTGGTCTGCATCTAGACTTCCCTCATGCCGTGCAGGGCTTATAGCTCGCTTGCCACGAGGCAGCAGGATCTATTCTGAAGACAGGATGAGTCATGGGGCCTGGCTTGTGAGGCTTAACATTAAGGAGGGTGAAGGTTAAGGTTAGCGTTAGTGTTAGTGTCAAGGTTAGTGTCATAGTGTGGGGTTTTTGTAAGGGGAAAGATACAAAACAGGACATGTTTTATAAGTTTATTTTATAATGAATTACCCAAAGAGCCTTATACAAAGAGAGTGCAGGATATCTGTCCACACACTAAAGACCAAAGAGCCCAGCCTGGATCCTAA